CCATAATGACCATATTCATGCCAAAAGTCCAATATAAACCACGGAAATACTTTTTAAGTCCACTTTTTTACAGTCTTGCCTATTGAGCGCATTACAACAAACTTTAAACCCTTTTTTCCAGCAATATCATGACACCTATTAGTCTAAAACTCAGAAGAACCCCCCAATTTTGTTAAGACCTACATGCCTTTTACAGATAATCGCAGTTGTAAATTTGGACACCTTGTTCTTTTTTCCCCCCCTTTCAACTTCTTAGATATCTCCGCTATATTGAAGGTTTACCAGTATTATTTTACGCCCAGCAACCTTGTGTTTTATTTTTGAGAAAAACAAAAATACTCATCTCTGCCATAAACATCCGCTTATATTCTGACAAAGTAAAAGAACCCAAGGAAATCTCTCTTGCATAGAACAATGGATCAAGTCAATAATAGCACGTAACAAAATTAAAAAAAATATGGACATTTGGAGCAACAGCCATAACTTATAACCAAATAAAATAGAAAATCAGACAAATATATGCACACACACACTATAACATTTTTCATATCCAGCATTAGAGAGCCATTAAATACAGATTAGCAAACCAATAACCAGGGGAAAAAAAAAAAGAAATTAAAAGGCGCAGTTCCAATGGAATTATCATCCCACGCTTTTTGGAGAGGGCGATGAAAGCTCCAGCTCCATGAATCAAAGGGAATGGGTATGGAGTCCAGCAGAGAAGAAGTGCCTCTTTCTCCTCCAGCGAAGGAACACCAAGGCAACACTTCTCCAGGTCCACGCTTTCATGATCCAAAACGCCCTCCAAACCAACGTTAACCTCCTCACTAAACTTATAACCACCTTTGCCACCGTCGTCCCGCATCTGGTATCCACCATGCCCGCCGTATATTCGACTTCTGCCATCGAAAGAACGACACTTTTCTTTGCAATACAATGATTAAATCCCATTTAGCTGCGCGTCAGTATAGTGAAGCTACACGTCTGTATACATATTTGCTAAAAATGAAGCGTTTAAGCCAGACAACTACACATTTTCCAGCCTTGCTAAGTGTTGTGGGCTAAATTTGGCGGTCTGGGAAGGCTTGGGAATTCATAATCACGCTATGAAAAGTGGGTTTGTATCCAATTTGTATGTTGGGACTTCATTGGTTGATATGTATGGGAAGTTTGGAGAAATGGGTTTTGCGAGAAAGATGTTCGATGAAATGACTGAGAGAAGTTCCGTTTCTTGGACTGCTCTCATTGATGGGTACGTGAAAAATGGTGATATGGCTGCGGCTTTGGGACTTTTTTATTTTATGCCGGAGAAAGATGTGGCCGCCTATAATGTGATGATTGATGCTTATGTAAAGATGAGGGAGATGGGTTTGGCTAGGAGTTTGTTCGAGACAATGCCGGAGAGGAATGTAGTGTCTTGGACTAGTATGATTGATGGTTACTGTAGTATTGGTGATGTTGATGAAGCTAGGTTGTTTTTTGACGCGATGCCAGAGAGGAATTTGTTTTCTTGGAATGCAATGATTGGGGGATATTGCCAAAATAAGCAACCCTATGAGGCTTTGAGGTTGTTTCATGCATTGCAAATGGAGAGGATGATTGAACAGATGATGTTACTCTTGTGAGTATTCTTCCAGCTATTGCTGATCTCGGTGCTCTTGAATTGGGAGCTGGGTTTACCATTTTGCTAGGAGGAAAAAATTGGATAGATCATCAAATCTTTGCACTGCCTTGGTTGATATGTATGCAAAATGTGGAGAAATTGAGAAAGCTAGAGGTGTTTTTGATGCCATACAGTTAAAAGAAACATCTATATGGAATGCTTTGATTAATGGGTTGGCAGTGAATGGGCGTGCTGAAGAAGCTCTAGAGGTATTTTTGGAGATGAAGGGTAAAGGGTTCAAGCCAAATGATGTTACCATGCTTGGAGTTTTATCAGCTTGCAACCATGGGGGTTTAGTGAAGGAAGGAAGGAGATGGTTTAAAGCAATGGAAGGATTCGGGCTTACCCCGAGAGTTGAGCATTATGGCTGTCTTGTAGATCTGTTGGGAAGGGCAGGATGTCTGGATGAAGCTGAAAGCTTGATTGACCGCATGCCTTACGAGGCTAATGGAATAATTTTAAGTTCTTTTCTATTTGCTTGTTACTATGCTAAAGATATTTCGAGGGCTGAGAGAGTAATAAGAAAGGCAATTGATATGGAACCTTGGAATGATGGGAACTATATTATGCTAAGAAATCTTTATGCCTGTGAGAGAAGATGGAATGATGTAGAAGAGATCAAAGGTTTGATGAGCAAAAAGGGGGCAAAGAAGGAGGTAGGTTGTAGTGTCATCGAGATCAATGGCAAGGTTTGTGAGTTTGTTGCTGGGGATAAACTGCACCCAGAGTCAGCTGTCATACACTTAGCCATGGAGCATTTGCAGTTGCACATGAAGGCAGAGAGTACTTATTGGTTCTGAACAACTTAAACTGATTGAAGCTTGAGCAAAGGACAAGCTTGATGATCGAGTTGCATCTTAATCTGAGAACTCCTTACAGAGGACCTACAATTATTCGTTGAATATCCAAAGAATCTTCTACCATTAAATAACCATAAGAAGCGTGAAGATATACATTGGTCATTGAGCTTTCTTTTGTTTGTTTCTCCTTCAATTAGGGCTCAAAAATTGTTGAATGGTGTGTGGAAGAGGATGGCTTATGCCAATAACTTACTTGACCATCATTGCCAGGTGAAACTATGGAGAATCATAACTGAACCATGTATGGAGAGGATGTGTAAAAAGGTTTCCATTTTTCTTTTCCCCAACTGTCCTTAGGTTGTTCAATTGAGGTTTAGGATGCGTGTAATCTGAATGCAAGCCAGCATTTGCAATTCTATGATATGAGATTCCTTAGTCTTAATTTAATGCCATAGCTAGATAGAAGCCAGGAATCATGTTTCTTATTTTTTTACTAAAACCAAGTAATAGATTCCTTGCTTGCACTGACCTCTTAGGCTAACTAGCCATGCCAAACTTCTTAGCAACTTTTCTTTTTAGTATATAATGCCTCATACCTCCTAAACTGGATCATGTTCATTCCTGCAAAATGGGTGCAGTCACGAGCTTCATGGGAAAGGGTGGATGATAATTTCACTCTTCTTTCATTTGCTCTATTTGTTTTGCACCTTTAGCTCTGAAATAAGTTTGACTCTTTATTCTCTGTCCTGCAAAAATGTAATTGATCCTTTTCACACGATGATTCTTACCTCAAGATCTTTATTTGCTTTGATAGGTTTGCCAACAGCACAGATGTTGAGCTTGCTGATGGGGACCCTTCATAGGCAGTTTATAGAGAAAGATGTGAACAGCTTTGAGGATTTCCACATGGCAATTCTTGACATCTTCAGGTAGGAATTACCATTTAATTCTGTTCACGTGCTTTTGCTGCTGCTGTTGAATAAATAGTTTTAGTTTCATTCCTCTGATAGAATTTGCCGTATGCTTTTGTACTTTCCTTGATAAGGAACTTGGAATCTGGATTGTGAAAATTTAGCCTCATACATCTTGTTTTCGTCCAATTGAAAGGTGGTGGCTTGTTGGCTTTAACTTGAGACTGGAAATGCAGATTTTTTTTTTTAATGCGAATTGACAAATTGTTGAAGTCTGTTTCATTTTTCATCTGTCATCATCCAAAGTAAAATGTGTAAACCTCTTCTTATTACGGAATTCTTGGACGCACAGCCAAAAAATAGCCTGGAGATATATGTGTGCAAAATCTTGTTATATTACATTAGAATGTAGTTAAGACTAGGAGCTTGAATGGATAAAGTGACTTTAATACCCCCAAAGCTAATTTTAGCTCCTTGCCTTCTACTTGTTTAAAACAAAAGATCCGAGGAAATAGATCTTAAATATGTACTAGAGGAAACAGAGATTCACAAGATTGACCGACTTCTGCGATTTGATTTTCAGCACCATCAATGCGGCATTACCTGGTAAACACTATGATGTTCCTCCTCTGAAAGATGTTGAGGTCTCTTTCTCTCTCTCTTCCTGGTGACCATGCATTTCTTAAGTAGGCCTGTTTCAAAGATCTCTCTCTCCCTCCCTCTCTCAAGCACACACTCCATTCAGACACTCGCATTGAGAATTCCTGGTAACCATGGATTTTTTGAATAGGCCTATTTCAAAGAATGGAGTTCAGCCGACGATTCAAATAAGAAAAGGCTGTTCATGGAATTAATGCAGAACAAGCTGAATCTTAGCAAGTTAGATGACTCCACCATCATTACCGGGCTTGTAACACCTCCAGCAGCAATGGTAGCCAAACGCGCAGGCGAGACCGTGCCCCAACTGAAATTGATCAAGGCAATTCCTGATGTCGTTTTTGTGCCATCAGCCACAGTGCTTGCCCTTATTTCCGTGAAACTATCCAGGAAAATGTTTTTAGGACAAGTAGCATCTTGAACACATAACCACATCCCCGTCAATAGGTATACAATTTTCATTCTCTCATGATCCTTTAACTCACAATGTGATTAATTACAAGGATATTTGAATTGGTCGATGTATCCGAGGTTCCAAGTTATCCACCGCTGGTTAATAAATAATCTTGCTCGTTATGAGCTGCCCAGGTGAAAAGTCCCTTAAAAGAGAGATGTCTAAATTTCATACAGCTGGTTGTTGTAGTACAAGACCTAGTTAATGCTGCCACTTCTATCTAACAAATAAACTCTATACTGCATGTTACAAGCTACACCAAACACAAGCTCTACTGGAGATAATCCCTAAAAGGCATAAAAGCTGGTGAATAAAATTTTAGGTCATTGCTTTTCTGACGGTGAACGCTCACAAGAAACCTGGGAATCCTACATAATCTGGTAAAGAAATGGCTGGAACTGCAACTGTTACTGCACTAAACTAAGAAGGTAACAGTTGAGATAGAATTACAAGCACCAATTTGATCCTAAAAGAGTGCAATTCACCGTATAGGTTAATAAAGTTGTCAAATATTACGCGGAGGACATCTATCTTATTAATTTCTACTCAATCACATCTTATGCAAAATAGAAAATTCCACGTATACAGAACTAGTTCCAAGAACAGGTATGTACAGGTTCTCTACAAAAAAAAAAAAAAAGAAATACTTGGAAAATATAGTGCGATAATAGAATTCCATGTACAAGTTCCTCAGTAGAGTACACTACTTGCCAGGACTTTTAAACTCCTCGTCCTCCCACCTGGTTTAGCAATTGAAAAGAGTAGTAATGTGAGAGCTAACTGGAGGATCTGCGGCTCCACCTCCCAGAGGAAGCCTTCCGTCTCCCCTTTTTCCTCCTGCTCTTGGTGGCAGTAAGCTTGGCAATGGACCGTACTTTTGGAGGTGGTTGATTATCTGTTTGCTGGTCAGGTCCAGCAATAACTGTAGTGACAGTGCTATGCGGCTCGTCCTTTGCTACCTGGGGCTTTTCCATAGGCTGCATATGGACTTCATCAAAATTGTTTCTATCTTGTTTCAACCTCTCATCATATATCAATATTTCATCTTCATTCTGAAAGAAAAATGTACACAAATATATCAAGAAAAAGGATACACACTGACATACATACACAAATGCTAGAAGTAGACAGGATTTTGGGACTATTATGATGTCATACTGCTACAAGTAGACAGGATTTCAGGACAATTATGAAATCATACTTCCCATTTAACCACAAGTTACAACAACTATTCCAACATTATGGTTTCCAGAAAGAAGGAAAACAAAAAGCATTTGAATAGAATGATACACACAGAGCACACTCAACACAGCACTTCAAAAAGGGGAATTACAAGAATAGTGCCCATGCATCTGTAGGGGGAAATCAAGAAAAACAAGCCACATTATATTGCAAAGAAAGAAACAGTAAAATGAGCAGAGGCATTAACTAAAAATGCATGATCTGTAGAATTAAAGTCACCAAAGTACTAATAAATGTGAAGTAATTTGGCCACGAGTAATTTTATGCCCACCAATATTCTTTTAACAGAATGAGTCAAATTCTTTTACGACAAAAAGTTGACCCCGAAAAGCATCCTGGAAATGAATAACAGCTTAAAATGTAAGACAAAAATTGCTTGTACACCTAAGATGAGATAAATACCTTTATAAATGCACACCCGAGATGAGACTGATCCATGCCTTCAGTTACATCAGGGATATAGGACACTTCTCCAAGACTTGAGATTGCACCTTCAGGCATAATCACATTACCCATATTATAGTGTGACAAAAGCTGAGATGCAATATTAGAAGATCCTACTGGCATTCTGTCCCATTATTTGAGTAAAAGCAAGAGATCGAGCAGACTGGTCAAATTAGATGGTACAACCAAGCCCAAGTTATCCGCAGAAGAAAACTTTCCAGCATTTTCATTCATTACCTTGTCAAGTCTAAACTTCAGCTTGCTAAGTTGTGACTCTAAAAGCAGATCTTCCTCAATAATTCCTCTGAAGAATTATCACCAAACCCCAATTCAAGCCACAACCTTTCATCACTGACTTTAGATTCATCATTGCCACTGATCTTGTCTGCAGAGTTAACTACCAACAAAGCTCAGTTAAAAACTTGGAAAACTACCAAACTGATATTCATGGATCATACATTACTAATTTTACACTGATGATTGGAAATTTTCACCTAAAATTCCAGTAGCAAAACTAAGACTCTGTTTGTGAATGTAAAATTTTGAGTTATCCAATGATCTATTAAGTAACGGCTCAAGGAATTTTGTTTACTAATTCATTTGCAAGCAAGAGTACTTTAGTTTTAGTTCCGTTACAGAGATACAATACATCACTTGAGCACGAGCTACATTGGATGCATAGGTTGACAAACTGATTGAAAAAGTAAAAGGAGAAAAATTGTAGCCAAGAAATAAGAAATCATGTGGATAAATTCTGGCCACACCAGTTGATTATTCCAGTAAAGCCATCAGGATAACAAGTCACCAGACTAGGCTTGAGAAAAAAACTCACAAGAGAAACGTTTGGGATAAACAAGCCAAAGTGATCTTATCTTAACAGTATGGAGGAAAAGTAAAAAACTTAAAACATTTGAAAACATAAATGATGACCTTAACAAGAATACTCAGTGTTTTGGCTAATCATTCATCTGACGTGAGTCAAAGCACACACATCATCAGTAGAGGACACTGTAAACAAGTCAAGTCTTACCTATGGCCCAATCTTCATCCACATGAGCACCATCAGCAGTGTGAATCCTTTTCTGTGAAATAACAATTGACAAGTTCATGGCCAACAGACAAATAGCAGTAAAAATTCATATCAATTCAATAAAACAGGTAACATTAGTACCAAAATAAGAAACAGATTATGATGTGACATATATGATGTTACATCCGTTGTGTCTTCAAGCCTTCTTCTTTTCTTTCTCCTCATAACTTTATCTGTTGGACCATCAGTAGAATAGGATGACTTTACACCACAACCTTCCAATGGCAAATTCTCCAATAGATAATGCTTTCTTTGATCATGATTAACAACTTCCTGTCATACTTTAGAGCTTGAGATTTAACATCTTGACTTGTAATTCAACCCATTTACATCGCCACATAAGGGGTTGTATAAATGTCCTCCAGTGTGATGTCAATCTCTTTCCTGGAAGATCATTAACATGCAAAAACTGATAAGAATACATATGGAACGAGTACCCAGTAGGTGTGCAGTGCAATTGTGAAACAATACAATGAATGAACAAAGTCTTATTCTTCACACTAAGATGAGAGGGACAAAGCAGTCAAGGAATTAATGATAGTTGTAAAACATCTGTACACTATTTTTTTTTCTGTTATTGAAATTTATTTTTCAGACAGAGAGACAGAGACAAATGGTTTCACATTTCAGCTCATCAAAACTCCTATCATGAAAAGTATCTCGTAAATAAGTTGGCAAAGGGAAAGGGGATGGACAAGATTGAGTTTATAGTCCACCCAAGCATCAACTGATATACAATTCCATCCTACCTCCAAAACCAACACAAGCCCCATCATATGCACTGGATGCCTTTCTGATGGTATTTTCTATGGACGCATAGAATGAAGATGGAGACATTCAAATGAGTAATATAACTTTACTTGCATCTAGTCACTGAACTATGCTAATGAATTCTAAACAACTAATTTCATTATTGTTAGATTTTACAGCCAAAAAAGAGATTTCTATGAATTTAGCTTCTTGAAGCAAGACTTTGACTTTCTTAGTATCAATCATCCGCAACATAAAAGACAGGAAAGCTCTAACAAATGACTAATACCTCGTCCGGAATATGTCATTTAGTCGATCAACTGCCAGGGAGGAGGAACTGTAACCATGTAAGCCTGATCCTACTTCAGCATCACTAGTGTCTACAGCACCTTCAGAGTCAGAATCTGTGTCATCAAAAGAACTCAAACTGAAACTGTCTGTTGCATCTTGGCCTTCAGCTTCAACCAGCCCATTGCCATCAGAAGTTGCAAGTCCTGTGATGTTAACTTCCACATCCTTATTACAGTTACTCATTTCCAAGGCACAGTCATCACAGTTGCTTTCAGACTTCACGTACTCATCTTTAGAATCTATAGAAAGCACTCGATTCTCCTTCCCCCATGAGGATGTAACACCATCTGATCTTGCCTTGAGCTCTAACTCTGGACCCATGGCATTATACAACACAATCAGGGTGCCTTCCAGATTATCACTAAACAATTCACTCAGATCACCTACAGCACAATCAAATTATTCAAAATAGACTTATCAGGTGAGCAAGGACAGAAACAACTCTTGATTAAAGTGTAAAAACTTTTGTATATGTTGAACTAGTATGTGTAGAACGCCGGCCAGTTAAAACATCACTATACACCCCCATGACTCCTAAACGAAACCAGTTATTTGAAAATCATGCAAAAAATAAATAATAATTACATAAATAAAATAAAAGAAAAAAGAAGCAGAAGAAGGAAGAGGAAGAAGAAGAAGAAGAATGCACACTGTTCTAAATATTTTTAAGCACCTAAACAGTGAGACAAAATGATGCCAAGAATCTAACTTACTTGAGCAAACAAATAGTTCTCTCCAGTAATGCGTCCAGAAAAAGTTCATTTGTAAGTAAATTAGGAATAATGAGAATAAAAGATTGAACATTTTAAAACTGCATATAAAACATTGGGGTGTTTGTGGAATTATCAAATTCTCACTACATGGCTGGCAACAGATTGATCATGCCTTTTTAGGTGCCATTTGCTAGAAATAGTACTTATATCTTATGAAATTAGCTCTACAACAAATACCTCAGTTAATCATCATCAATGGCTAGGCAAACAACTACAGATATAGAGTTCCTTATACTTCAATCCACTCATGGCTAAAAAATTCAGAAAGAGGCACCCTAATAATCCAAAACCAAACTATTTTAAAACTAAACCAAAACCAAACACGAACTCAAGATCTACTGATTGCAATCCAAAAGATTGTTGCATATCCACAGAATGCAGAAAACTACACAAGGCCTCAGCCTTTCAACTTCCCACAAAATGTCATACCACAAAGTATTGTCAACAGCAATGTCCTCATAAAATCAAAAGAATAACAGGCAAGAGGAACACTGTACTGGTAACTCACCTACACAAGATAAGCTAAAGTCTCATCTAAAACTAAACACCAGTCTTTACTGTGTAGAATAATAAAATACACAGCAAAAGAAATGATAAATTAGATAAATTAAGCAACTTTATAACAATATGTTGACTCTAATTACTTGAACAGCAATCCTTTAATTGAACGAACTACCAAGCCTTCTAAGCCCTCACTGGCAAGAAAATCCTTTTCTTCTTTTTTATATTTTTTTTGCATTTTCTAAGTTCTTTTCCAGTCAAGGGAAGCAAGCATTAAAATCCAAGAAATCTTTACCTGCCCAAAATTCAAGAATTAATTTGTCCTGGCAGGGGTATTGGCAGCAGGGGATACAGTCAGAGCAAAACGAATCAAATTTTAGCATAAACCCCAAAATCCCAAAACCACAAAAATAGAATAAGAAAAAATTGAATCTCTACTCAACTGTCAACATTCTTGAGCAATTAGTAACCAAATCTCCACGTCAAAACCCTCCAGAACAGAACCAATGAATTCTGACCCCACAATATTTTCCCACACAAATCAAGTTTCCACGACACTCAACTGGAAATTTCACATAACCTGAAATCTAAAAAACCAACAAAAGGAACTTCAAGAAAATTGAATTACTGATACCTGTGTTGAGAGTATATGAGAATTCACCACCGGCAAAACTAGCTTGAGCAAGTGAATAGTGGTTATGGAGTCATGAGACTGAAAGATCCTCTCTCTCTCTCTCTCTCTCTCTCTCTCTCCTTTTTTTGGGGGAGATTTAGAAATTTTTAGTAGGACAGAGAATAATGAAAGCGTGAGGCAGAGGTAATTGTGGTGTTGTTTGGACGATGATTCTGGCGTCCCCGATGTCAATTGGTCGAGCTGTAGGCAACTGGACGCTAGTACCTTAATTTTGCCGACTTCCGCTTTCCTTTATTTTTCTTATTTCCATATAGTGTTCTTTGGATTTACAATCACATCCCTCAGGGATAACTAAATCACGATGGAATCCCTCAATTTCTAAAATATCTGATTAAACCCCTTCGAGTAGAGAATTAAAGACATCAAAAAACTTACCTCGTATTAAATTTACATCAAAAAAGTTACATTTTTCCCTCTAACTTTTATTTAAAACTTAGCATGAAACTGCATAATCTTATTCAAAAATTGCACATTCAACGCAAGCTATTTTTGTGACTGATTTTTTTTTTTTGTCAATTACTGTAATTGTCTAAATGTCATTGTCCAAAGTTACATCTGCAGTCCCAAAATTCATCCAGTTAAAATTGAGGCAAAAATAGAAATAAATATTAACGAAAATCAAACGGTAGTTTATTCCTTTTGCAATTATATACTTTTGCAATTATTCCTAGCCGTGGTCCTTCTCTAAACTAAAAGTAATGCACCTGTAGTTTATTGTTTGTGTCCAAATAGGATCCAATAACCCCAAAAAAAAAAAAAAAATCATCCAATACGATATCAATGATAGAGTTTGAGCACAATTAAAAGACAACAGAATTTGGAAGATGCCATAATCAAAACGACAACATGATTGCTTATTTATGCATCTTGATTGAAGATGTGGAAGTATTTGGACCGTAATGATCATCACAATTGAAGAAAAAGAAAGAAAAGGACACCATTTACTTCACCAAGCTCTGGTTGGACACGAGGATGAACTTGCTAATAGAATTATTGATCTTGACACAACTATCTCAATAATAAATAAACAAGCTAAAAGTGCAAAATCAATTCAAAATTTTAGATAGATAGATGGATAGATATTTCTCCTATATTATCTTCTCAATCTTCTCATTCTTTTGCCTTATTCACTTCTTACAAGACTTTTGTTAGTCTTCATAGTTCATCCCAATCACAAAAGGGGGCAAATATCCTATTTTCTTCTTTTTTTTTCGGAAACGATAACTATTGTATAACGTATCTATCCTAGATTATTCGGGAGGAGGAGTCTAAAGAGATTTTGTATTAAGGATTAATAGGTATACAGACCTTACTAGACTAAGAGGATGCTACGACACAACCCTTGAATTTTCTTCTTTCTCATTTGTTTCTTGAACCAAATGTAGTTTAAAATTCATCGATGAAAGTTCAGTTCCAAACCCTTAATCGTATATAAAAAAATAAAAAAAAAAACAGAGAAGTGAAACCTTGGAACAACATATGAAGAAAAAAAAAAAAAGCTCCAGATCTGTCCTAGTCCTACATTTGCATGCTTGGTTTGTTGGAGAAACTAAAAATAGAAAGCTGCAGGAAGCTTACGTTTGTAGTCTTGCCCCATAACAAAGCTTGATGGCAACTTGGAGTCGCGGCACCTCATCCTCTACCTCCTTTTTATCTTCTGTTTCATGCACACCCTCATGGGACAGATTTAGAGTTAACACGTTTCACTAAAATCAAGGAAAATCTAAACAAATTTAAATATGAAATTTTATGTGAAATTGCAATTTAATTGATCCTTTCCTTAAAGTTCATCTGTTTATCTCCTATTGTTGCTGTTTTTTCTTTCTTCTTGCCTTCTAAAATCTAAAGTAGATGTGATTTTTTTTTTCTTTTTCTCATGCAATTTATTCACGACATATGTAAAAATATTTCAAACGAAGAATGAATCAAATCATGCGCAATAAGTTACTACAGATCATTGATTCATGAGTCCTGACACATCAAAAGTTAGAGAATTCAATTATTTACTTTGTTCGTTCAATGATGGAAAAAATTCATCTGTTCAAAAGTAGAAAAATAGATGAAAGTTAAAGATACAGCATCTTCTAGTTTAGAATTGATCCTCCACTCCAAAAAAAAAAAAAAAAAAAAAACACACACACACACACACACAGATCATAATAGTGCGGTGTTTCTGTCTGACTCACTATTGTTTTAGCACCTCGATCTAGACAAAAAAAAAAACATGTCAACTATAAATGAACCGAAAAGCCCTGGCCTACTCTGTGACGTACACCATCATAATTTCCCATGCCGTTGTTGTTGCTGAACTTGAATGTTCGTTGGCTCCTCCAAGGCGAAGGCCTTAACTATGCTTCACCAACCAATCCTTTTCTCTGCCATTCTTTTTTCTTTACACGTTTCTGCTACCTTTCTTGTGCAGTTGGCTCACATGCCTGCACTGAGAAAAGTCATCCATCTACACCCTCTATTCTCTTGGACCGCTTTGAAAAACTTTTTGGTTGACTCGTAAAAGCGGTGCTGAAACTTAGTGCCACTGCCGTTATCCACTAGGACGTTCAAATTTTGTTCCTGCGAAATCAATGGCTCTAAGTTCATCATTTTCTACCGTCTGCATGTTCTTTGTCACTTTGACTTTGATGCCAACGACCCCATATTGCATCCCTTTTGTTGTCTTTCATGGTAATTCTTTTCTTGATATCATCTGTGAAATGTTTCAACATGCTGTATTTTCAGGAGGTGGCTAACTATTAGCTATATTTGTCTCTTTTTTTTTAGCTATATTGATTATTCAGCCATAAGATTTTTTCCCGTCTTTTCTGCTATGAAGCTTGATTAAGTGGGAGGAGCTTTTGAGCTGCCTTTTTTTGGTCATATATGATTTTGTATGTAATTTATTTACTTTTTTTTTTCAGTTAATCTTTTCATCTTCTTTGTGTTGACAACAACTTCTTGTATTTAGGCTTTAGAACCACCTAGTCTTTGCTTTATATAATTATGCTCTATGATGCAAGTTTTGGTTGTGTATCTGCTGCATTTTTAGTACCGGTGGAATATTTCAGGATGAAAGTTTGTTTCGTGAATCTGAATTTACTGGGCTCTTCTTGCTGAATTTTCATTTTCTGATTGGCAAATTCCACATTAGAAACTTTTTGCTCAGGTGTAGAAATATAGTGCTACTGAAACATACGTAGGTGTTACGGAACTTAACTTGAAAAGCTCATACCTTTAGTAAAATATGTAGTTCTGAATAGTACGTAGTTGTAATACAAGGATTAAGAAGGCAATCGTATTTATTTAACTCTGAATCTCCTCTGCATTTTAGCAGAGCATCTTTATTGTTGTTTAACTAATTAACTATTGAGAAGAGCAGAATCCTGCTTCGAGACATGATCAATTCTTAGTATTCTGTTTGGCATATGTATGCCACTTCCTGGTCATTTGGATTCCTGCTCTTCCGTTGGATAGAAAGTTCTGATTTTCATGCATTTGTCCTTTGAAACTAAATTTGTGACCTGGGCATGAGCTCATACATCTTACCTCCAGTTCAATTGTGCTCACCTTTGTTTATGTGTACGATCGCAGGAATTGAGGATGCATGCCGTCATAAAGGGGTAGAGCGTTTCACTGAAATTCTGGCTAACTGGTCCGGAACTCAAGGACATTGTGTGTATGTCCTTATCGCACTATACTTTTGTGAAGTTTTCAGACTTGTAATTGCTCTTAGTCTTGTTCCATGTATTTCTCTCAATTCCAGTACACATAGTTACCAAAGGTTGATCAGAGGCATGTCAAAAGCAGATTGATTTTGAGTCATTCCAACAATTTGTACACTACAACTTGGAACTCTAAACTGAGATCCAAGTTTAGTCTTTTAAAGTTGTAAAATCACAAAAAACATATTCCTTGTTTAGTCAGTCACTAGCACCTGATAAATTCACTTTTCTGTGGAACTTTTAGTTGGATGGTGTATTTTGCCTATCCTATGGTTACAATATATAATTGAAGAAAGAATAAGCATGGCCCTTCATAGTTCTCAATATCTGAGGGGTGAGCTTTAAAGAGCAGCATCACCTAATCTGTAGTATTTCTCACCATATTCTCATTTTCTGTTTCTTTTTCCTTGTTCTGCAGTCATCAGAAACCCATATATCCAGCAAAAGGTTGCACTAATACAATAAGCAACTTTCACATGTTGTTATTGGGTACTCTAGACCCCCAAATGTAACTCAGTAATCTCTTCTTGGAGAGCTTAAAAAACTGTAAGATTCCCCAGTGGAGACCAAATTACATCGCTGGTCTATGAGATAATGGCAGACAAATTCTCAAACTGTACATTCTTGTCAAAACAACTGCTTGGCGGACTGATATTATAGCCTATTATAGCATCAATGCTCTCCTAATTTTTAATAGAAACTGAAATGAGTTTGGTTGCAATGTTCTTACTCTATAGCAGAGGTGTTAGACGCTTGTCTATGATTTTAATAGAAACAGAATAACGCTCGTCTTAGACAATTGGAGTGGAAATCCTGAACTACATATATGTGCTAAATTATTTGATTATCATGCTCATGCTGATTACTGAATGCAAGTTCTTAATTCTATACTTGTGCAGTGAAATTGGTAATGGAGCGTGGGATTCCTGGTTTATGCCATTCCCTAAACAGGTCTAGCAATAAGTAGCCTAACAGCTGTTTTTTGTATATGCATGTAAAAAATGAGAGAATTCTATATTAACCTTCTTTTTGATATTCTATTTCCAGATATCCATTGCTTGTGAGAAGGTATTAAAGGCATAGTAAAGTTTTTGCTTCCTAGATCTGGCAATTGGCTTTTCCTAAGTTCATGATTTCTTCAAACTATAGGTGAAGAAAATAAGTGAGCTTAGGGATGGTTACAATATCGTTGGACTTTCCCAGGTAAGAGATGCTTAGTCTGGTGGCAAATAAAATTTTTACTCTGGCATTGTCAGTTTGGAGTTTTTGCATCATAAACACATTCCAGGTCTTCTGGCAGAAAATTCTTCAGCAATAATAGTTTCAGATTAGTCACCCACAATATTGATATTTTTATTGGGTATCATCGAAATATTGTTGCCTTTATTGGTGTTCTTGAACTGAGGAATCGATTTGTAAATGTCCTTAGAAGTTGGTTTCTTCTTTCTTCTTTCTCTACAAAAGTTCTTTTTTTCCCAAACTTTCT